CTTCTCTTCTTTGGGAATCTTCCTTTCTTCAACCACCTTTGTGGTGTGCACATTTGGTTTAGGAGGCTTCTTATCTAACACCTTAAGACCTTACTGATGTCATTTGTCACCAACATTCCACAGATGCCACCAGGATTCCATAGAATTCGTTCTTCTCTACCTTAATTCCCATCACCTGCCAGCTGTTTAAATTCAGGACTTGAGCATTTTGAATCCAGGGTCTCCTTAAAAGCAGGTCCTCCTAAATCTTTTCTACAAGAAAATATGCACCTACCCAGAGAGGCATCTTAAGTTCTATACTACCAGTTCGGTGCATAATACCTCCACTGACGGAGGAGAGTTCTTTGACAATACTGGTTATCCATTCATATGTGACATGATTATCACATACAGTAATGCAACCCTCAAGGTGGTGGGTGGGAAGCCACTAAACTCTGGTAATATGGCACATTCTTTCAGTTGTTCATCAGAGGTGATTGATTACCTGGGACTGGCTGAGTGGACGGATATCCAAAAGGAATAGTTGCCACCCTTTTGCCCACAACACATTTTTACTTTCGCTTACCTACATATGAAATATATTGTAAGGGACAGTATTGTTCATGAAAATTTTCGAATCTGAGTGATATTTTCAAGGGAAATGGTCTCCTGAGTCCAAATAACCTAGTCCCACAAAATGGTCTGTGTATTTATGTGTGTGTGTGTATATGTCTGTGTGTGTTAGCAGTCTAGCTCAAAAACGAAAAGTTGTAAGAAAGTGAAATTGCATATTTAAGGTTATATGCCTCAGATGTTACAGCAACTTTTTCCTTAAAATCGGCTAACCAGAAGTGCCACTTTATATAATCGATGTTGCAAATTTTTAGGTTTTTCTCGAAAACACCTCCAACGATATCAGCTATGTCTTATCCACATTGATGTTACTTTATAGGGCTTAAATGTTCTATGTTCATATACACCTTCTTCTAAATTACCTTTAATTTGGTTTATTTAAGAAAAATAACTGTCTCTCGTTGTTAGGAATTATGAAAAAAAGGCTAAATATAGCGTTTGAAAGAAATTGATTATTGAATAAAGAATAAAAAAAGAAAAATGTTTATTGAGCTCGAAAATGAATCCCCGGCAATACTAGTCAGAAGGTATACGTATAGTATTTCGTTGGAAAGCGGAAAATTTTAGAAAAAATAAAATCTAATTAATAAAGTTGTAGAAAGTAATGGAGAGTAACGAATAAAATACAAATAATAATTTCTGAAAACTAACATTATTTAACGTAAATCACATGTTTCCAAGTAAATCAAATGACATTTTCTTACTAAATGTAAACTTCTAAAAAAGCACTTAAAATACATCAAGTCAGGACAATGACATTGTTTAAAATACTATTTCATTGTACTTGTGCAAAAGAAGAAGTAAAATATAAAAATATTTCATTGATGTATAAAGCATAACCTTTATACATATAATTTAGTAATTCTAGATCTGATATTATAATTAACTTATTAGGTGTAAACGTCCGTTAATTCCGAAAAATTGTCATGTAATCTTTTAGAATATTAAATTAGTAAATAATTTGATGAGTTTTCCCTTTGAGATATCACAACATTATCCACTTAAAATTAGTGTGACAATTTTCACCTATCTATGGCAGGCAATGAAAATCTCATAATTTCATTTTAGTAAACTTTACAATGGAAAATAACAGTTAAACAACTAATAGTCGTACAGTCCATAATCATTTATAGGTTGAATATACAGATATATTCAACCTATTCTCCTCAGGGTGTTCCTCCGGGTTCCTCACTCTCCCCGACCCTTTTCTCCATCTATATTAATGACCTTCCTAACGCTATTCAACACTCCAATTACCACCTATATGCCGATGATTTCCAAATATACCAATCATTCCAACCTTCTGAGATGGTACAAGAGGACATCGACTGCATCAACAGATGGGCAGAAATAAATGAATTAAAGCTGAATGCAGATAAAACCAAGGCTATTATCATCGGGTCCAGACATTTCATCAGCTCCCTTCCTTACTTTCCTCTACTTTACCTCAATAACCATCCCATCCATTTTTTCCCTACAATCAAAAACCTAGGAGTAACCTTTGACCAGAACCTCTCCTGGGATAATCATATCTCCCAGATTACCCGAAAATCCATAACTGCCCTTAAACAACTCCTAAGATTCCGTGATTGTATTCCTCTAAAAACCAGACAGCTCCTTGTAACCTCCCTTGTATTCCCCCACTTCGACTACGGCTGCTTGGTGTATGGAGGGCTATCTCCCAGGCTGGAAATGAGACTAAAAAGACTCATGAATTGTTTCATAAGATACATTTTTGGGATCCCCAGGCGTTCACATGTTTCACTATGGTACATCGATTTGAAGTGGCTTTTTCCTACTTCCCGACGACAATTCCTTCTTGGCGTTTTCCTTTTCCAAGTCTTTAGAACCGAAAACCCTCCCTACATCCTAGAACTCCTTACTCTGCGCTCCTCTATCCACTCTCTCAATACTAGGTCTCAACCTATAGACTTATATATTCCCTCCCATAAAACTTCCTCCTTCAGCAAATCCTTCGTCATTCGTGCTGCTTCCTTATGGAACTCACTTCCTACCTCCATGCGTCAATCCTCATCCACAAATTCCTTCAAACAACTCCTGTTCCAACACCTACTCCACATTCAAACTTCCCCTAACATGTAAAATTACTTGCATCTATACAATGTTTAATTTCAATCCATTGCACAATTGAAATAACAATTAACAATAAATTAGTGTGTATTTTTACTATGTCAGACTAAGATACATAAATTTGTAACTCTGTTATTATTCTTAGGGGACAGTAGTCCCAGATTAAAATTATTTTTTCATTTCATTTCATATAATTTCAAATATTTGTTAGCTGTAAGCTTTAAGCTATAGTTCCATTAAAAATGCACTTCAAAAATTTTATAATAGCCCAACATTGCCCAGAAAATAATTTCTAATCAAAGTAGAGTGGTAAGTGAAAGTTTTGTGTTGTACAAACAAATTTGTTTTACGTATAATCTTTATCAGTATGGGTTATTGCCCTTAGTTATTAATAGTAACCGGATTTCCAGGTTGTGGCACATTTTATTCGCTTGCATATAAAAACACCGGACCCAAACATCTATCTGTTTCAGAATCTGTAGAATAACATATTAAAATTTGATACTGCATATTTTGGCTTAAATTGCACAATTTAGATTTTTGTTGCATTAAATTGCACATTTTTTCACTTTAGTGATAAATTAGATGATTTATAAATAGAAATGTATATTTTTATTTTTATTTTTTGGGTTTCCACAACTTAAGGAGTCATATCCCCAATAGCCAAAAGCCACTGCTCCCTGTACATCCAATCACCTTCACGGAGCTCTCTGGCTGCTGTGCATTCCTCCACATCCTCTATCCCTTTCTTCTTTGGCCTTCCACACTTCCTTCTTTCAGATGGCATATAGTTATAAATTTTCTTTTGCCAGCAGTTCTCATCCATCAGCTTAAGTGGCCATACCACTTTAACCTTTTGGTCCCGATCAGGTGAAGGATATTCTTTTGACATCCGACTTCGTCTCTAATTGCTGCGTTTGGGATCCACTTGATTCTAGATATGCCACAGCTTCTCCAGAAATCCATTTCCATGCGAAGCTACCTATTTTCCGCCTTTTATTTTTAATTGTCCAAACTTCTGATCCGTAGGAGGCTACGCTTTCTATAAAGGAATGGTAGATCTTCTTTTTAGTTTCCAATCTTATTTCTTTACTCCATAGGGTTGAATTTATCGAACTCATTATTCTTTTCCCATTGCTTATTTTATGTTCAATGTCAACCCCACTACCTCCCTTTGAAGATAGCCAGTATCCGAGGTGCTTGAACTGTTGGCTGACATTGAGCGCCCAGTCATCAATTTCAAGGGGTAAATTTGGAGCGTTAAAAACCATGCACTCTGTTTTACTTTTACTGATTTTTAGAACCTATCTGGAATGCGTGTCTAGCAACTTTCTCATGTAGCTCACATCATCCGGATCTGATGTATTGATCCGATCATAATATATTGTTAAAATTAAATTCATTATTTAACATAAGATAATATGAGGAAAGTATATTATTCTGTAACAAGCAAAAATCGAATTTAACATTACAAGAAGAAGAAGTAAACTCAAGTGAGAAATATTCTTGGAATAGAACTTGCCTAAATATTAGATAGTAAAAAGTTACTTTCGTAGAATAAGCTGTTTTGTTAGTAAGTCATTTATTGTTAATGTTTTGGCTTGAATTCTCTCTCATTTGTAAAGCTCTTCAATATTCCTTAAATTACTTATTTATTTAGTTTATTTTTGTTGCCTCTATCCTGCATGGTCATTGGCAACACCTTCTCATTAAATTCTATTATAGAGTTTCACCCCTTTTAGGAATTGTAATGTTTTTTTAGGGGTAGCCGTGCGGGCTAAGGCGCTTGCAATAACTATGTATTATATTATATATTGTCGTTTGTTGATTGTAATATTAAAGTTCATATTCAACATGACATTTTTTTTTTTTAATCTCTTTTATCTTTCCTTTAAGAGATCTAGTAAGATTTTGATGTATTAATATTATAAATTAAAAAATTTTGATGATTTACGTTTTAGGTGTTAATTATACAAGTTTTACATATTTTGAGTTTTTTCTGCACGACTTTGCACATTTTGAGTTTTTTGCAGTACGCTCTTCAGATTTTTACAGCACGAAAATCCGGTCTCTAGTTATTAGGTTAATGGTTACATAGAGTGGTTGGAGGAGTAATTTAGTAATCTATTGTTAGTAGTATCTTTTTTTTATTGCTCTCATTATTATGTTTTTTGTTATTATCAATTATTATTTCAACATCCAGATATTATTTTTTTTTTTGTATTGTAAATTTTACTTTTTTATAATGGCTTTACCTTCTCTAATATTTAAACTTTTTTATATTTTGTTTTTACTAGATCCATATACCTAAAGCACAGTATGGGGGTCGACATACTGTCACAATGCTTCCTGGTGGTGGTATTGGACCAGAATTGATGGACTATGTAAAAGAAATATTCAGGTATTTCTTATAACTTAAGATCTATTATATCATATGACTATTTTCGAACAATATCTTTTTACAGTATAAATTTAGTATTTTCAAATTTTCAGAATAAATAATTACTTTAACTATTTTCAAATAGATTTTTTATAGGTGAACACTTTTTATCAATATTATTTACGAATTTTCAGTTTCATTTTCATAGTAGGTTCTATATCAAATCAGCCATTTAAATTTTTCTAAAACTTCAAATTCCTCTTGTATCCAATCCTTACAATCCAAAATCCTTCATAAAATTCTCAATGCTCCTTACTTTGTCACAAATAAAATAATCCATAAAGACCTTAATGTTCCATATGTTTCCGATTTGGCCCAATCCAGATACCTTTCATTCCATAATAAATTTTATAACCATCTGAATCCTCTTGTTTCTAACCTTGCTTCCTCTTCAATTCCTGATAACCCTCCGAGGCGTCTGAAAAGAAGATGGCCTCGTGATCTCCTTATGTAGACCTATTATTAGAGTACTACCAATGGGTAGTTTATCAACAAGAGTTTTCATGTGATTATATTCCTCTTTACACATTTACTTGATGTATTTATACTAATACAGTTGTAAATATCATTAAAAAAAAAAAAAAAATTTAAATTCATAACATTTTTATTTAAATAATATACTATCTAAAAACAATTTTCTTTTTCTTACATAATATACCTCTTAGTATTGGGTTAGTACTAGAACAAGGTTAACGATTAAAAATTCTTTCCACTAAAAAGATTAAAGTAACTTAAGGTTAGGGAGGTGAAGTACTAAATTTGTCCTTCATCTACCGATTGGAGCGAGTTGCATAACTATTCAGGGCCCTAATAGCTGCTTGACTATCTGTATATATTGTTATAAATCTATTCATAATGCTCCCCTTAAAAGTGTTAAAAGTAATTTTATTAATATTAATTACATATCGATCATATGTTACATCGATTATATAAATTAAAAAAATATGCATAACACATATGTTGTGTTATAACCCTGTTTTTTTTCTTCTATTAAGTTGTATTTTGTTAGTTTAATAAAGATTTATTTCCTTAGTTTAAAAAAAGCTTGTTGTTTATTCAATGTTTTGCACTTAATAAAAAAAAAAACCATAAGCCATTTATAAAATCAACAAAAAGTGATTGAGCACAGAAATCGATAGCTAGAATCTCGGCTTGAAAGACGGACATATATCACCTAGAGATATGAATATTCCCTCATTAGGTTTATCCTTTCTCCAGATGCCAGCCCCTGATCCTTGCTCCATTAAGGATCCGTCAGTATAACGGTTAACTCCATTGCACCATCTATGCGAGTTATTCCTGCCTATCATCAAATTATATAGTATATCTCTATAATTATCAACTTGAAGGTCAGAGTTCATCGCAAGCACCTTATTGCTATCAATCCTATCAAAAACGATCTCATGACCCTGAAAAGTCAGAAATTTCTATCTTGTTCCCAGTTTTGCCTATCTATAGGCAGTTCTAAGAGCATGTGCTTCCTCCTCTAAATGCAATGGTGTCAGATTCAAGAGAACTTCCATTGCAGCTGTTTGAGTAGTGCTCATAGCTCCAGTCATCATAAGGCATGCGAGCCTTTGAATTTTGCCAAGCAGCACTAAGCGTCCTTGAAGCTAGCTGCCCTATGGCACCACACAACAGTCGCATACAAGATTAAGGTTCTAATCGCAGTTCTGTATAGCCATAGGGCCATACTAGGTTTCAGCCCCCATGATTTGCCAACAACTCTTCTGCATGTCCATAAAGAGAGTATAGCCTTACCACTAATCATTTCAATATGATTTATCCAGTTTAACTTACTATCTAGAGTAATCCTAAGATGTTTTGCTTCACTAAATTAACTATCATGATGACCTATTTGACGATGGTGGTCTAATATTGATATTCCTTTTGTTAGTGAAGACATATTGATTTATTTTCTGCGGATTTATTCCAGCACAATGGCACCATTCTTTCAGAAATCTTATAGTGTTTTTGAGCAATCCAGATATTGTATCTGGAAATTTACAACCTATCTATACAGCGATATCATCAGTGTATCCTTTAGAATAAAATCATATTGCGTTCAATTTAACTATCAGGGAGTCCACAACCAGACACCACAAGAGTGGAGACAACACATCCCCTTGTGTATACCCTCCAATAGGTTTAACCCATAGTACAAATTGTCCCAGCTCAGATTTAAGGACTCTCCTCCTCATAACAGAGTTAATCTATTCTGAAGCCAAGAGTCCGACCCCTCTACTATCCGATGCTCTAGCCATTGTATGATAAGGGGTACGGTCAAAGGTATCTTCAATATCAACAAAGATATCTACTATAATCTCTTTCTGTGATAAGCTTTTCTCGGTTCTAAAGACCAAGTGATGCAACACTGTCTCACAGGATTTGTCGGTTTGATAGACAAATTGGGCACAATGTAGAAGTCTTTCTAGTAATGTGGAATCCCTAATGTGTCTATCCATAATCTTTTCTTTTTTTCGGTGTAGTCTCTTTTCTTCCCTTTTCTTCTCTGTTGATTTCATTGATTCTCTGACAGTTTGCCTTATCTATCAATGGACCATCTTCCTGTATGTCTTGTTTTCATTATTTATAGCCTCAAGACACACCTCATCGTACCATGGAGTCCGGGGGGAGGGGGGGGGGGTTGCCAAAATATCGAACTGCTTCTTGGGCTGCTGCATCTATTGCTGATGATTTGGCCTTCCAATGATCCTCAACACCCTGTTTAGCATTCCTCATAAATTGGTCAAGCTTTTCATCTATGTTATAATAGTAGATTGCATGATTTTCTTCATTCTTAACCTTGCCAATATCATGACTTCTTCGTTAATGGGTGCTCTGCTGATCTTCTGTTGCATATCCTGGCCCTAATTTTGGCAACATTCATATAATGATCTATATCCATATTTGCCCCTCTACATTATCTGATGCATAGGAGGTTTGATTTATGACACGAACCTATCAGTAGATGATCAATCTCGTTAGTTTTCCACCCATCAGAAGATAACCAGACTGCTTGAATATCCTTTCTGGAGAAGAAAGTGCTTCCAATGATTAGATCATGTGAAATAGCGAGACTAATCAGTCTTTGACCATTGTCATTGCTATGTTTGTGAAGACTATGGGGACCAGTAGTGGGTTGGTAACATGCTTCACTGCCAACCTTTGCGTTAAAGTCTCCAAACAAATTGTTTGCATCATGATTTGAGCAGTTTGTGAGGGTTCTTTCAAAGTTATCATAAAACTGTTCCTTTCCTTTGTCTTCGGCTACTTCTGTTGGTGCATAACAATTTATGAAGATTTAGTTGAAAAATCTGCCTTTAAGTCTAATTTTGCAGAGTCGAGGTCTAATAGGGCAGAAATCAGTCACTAGCTGACAGGCCCTTTCTCTAACTATGAATCCTGTCCCCATGATGTGCAGCTTATCGTGACAACTATAGTGAAGGGTGTGTATTCCTTCTCAATTGACCAACTGCCGATCCATCAAACTTCCTGGACTACTGCTAAGTCAATTTAATATTGGTACAGTTGTGTAAGTGCTCGAAGTGCTCCAAGTCTTTGTAGTGACAAAACATCCCTATACGCAATATGTAAGTCATTATGGCAGTTCAAAGGTCGTTTCCGTTGAGATAATTGGGCTGTTACCTTTTTTATAGGTTTCTTTATTGTGGTATATAAGGGAATTGGGTAAGCCAGTCCGCATTCTCCAAGTCAGAGTGGCTGCCCCCTCAGATCCACCTGACACGCTCCTCCTTCCGCAACGGCTACCTAGGGAAGATGATCCTAGGGTGTGTACTGTATATGTCCTTTGTCTGTATGTGTGGGGTGTATGGAGTTGCTGTATATAGTGTACTGTGTGTGAATGCCAGTGTACTGTTCCCCCAACCTGGAGGGCCAGTGGCTGATTGCAGTCTGACAACTGGGTGATGGAGTTACCACTTCCCTAGGCTGTTTTTTTCATTCATACGTATTTCGAATTTCTTCTGTATGTTGTTTTTTAAGTTTAAGTGAGCGTTGATTAAAAATTTACAATTGGATTTTATATAGCTGTTTTTTTTTTTCAGATAGGATTTTTTCAGTATAGGGGTCACATTTGATTTGAAAATGCTCTGTTGTTTGAAATAATTTGAATCTTTAACATGAATATGACAGAGCAATATATAATTAGGTCATTTACTTATTTATACTAAATAATATAATAAATAAAGTAAAATTTTAATTTTCTGAATTGTCTTAAATGTGGATGAATCTTTGGTAGTTATTAGAAGGCTATTTAAGATTCATTATCATCATCCCAATCTCTACAATCCATTACTGGATTTTGGCTGCCTTAAGGGTTGTCTTCCGCTTGCGTGCTTTTTGTATAAAGTGTCTCTTGTTTGTATACCAGCATCTCTCACTATGCTTTCTACAGCTAGATTAAAGAGAGTTCACACAATAGTGTTACCGTGTCTCAAACTTCATCCGCACTTGAATTTATTTGACTAATCTCTCTTACTATTTAAGAATATTTCATGATAATTATTTTTTAAACATGTTGCTAAAGGTATTTGAATGTTAATTAAGAGATATTTTATTTTAGAGTTGGTGGAATACCTGTTGATTTCGAATTAGTTCAGATAGATCCTAAAAGTAGTGGAAACGAAGACTTAGAATATGCAATTACTTCTATTAAGAGGAATGGTGTAGCTATCAAAGGTAAATAAATTTATGTATACTTTTCTTCCTTGATAATATTATTTAAGCTAATAATTTATTTTATAAGTACTTACACTAAATATCACTTCTTATCAAGGGCTCTTTGACACTTTTTTTTTTTTTAATTTAAATTTTTAAATAATAATAAAGGACAGATGAATCTACTTGCATAGGTTTATTTATTTTGCTTTCCACTGCTATGTTTCTTATATATTTTTTTATTTATTAATTTTTATTATTATTTTTTTTTAAGGCCAAACAATGGGCCAATTTTCAGCAGAACTGTAGCAAATTCAAGATTTGTGTTTTTTTAAGCAAGTCATGGCTTTTGTTGAACAGGAAGTGACTTGAAAGTTGGGTTCCACACACACACAAAAAAAAAAGGCTTTGTGAAGTTAGCGCTACACTTCTTTGTCAAAACAAAAACAACCCTTTTCTGTCCAGAATTGTTACTTGTGATGAAAAGTGGATACTTTACGATAACAGTAGACGTTCTGGACAGTGGCTTGACAAAGGAGGAGCAGCAGAACATTTTCCAAAGCCCCCAACCCATCAAAGAAAGGTGATGGTTACTGTTTAGTGGCCTTCGTTTGGTTTGATACACTACAGCTTCTTAAATCCTGGAGAAACCATCAATGCCGAATCGTATTATAATCAAATTAATGCAATGCATCAGAAATTGGCAATAATTCTCTAACTTTGGGTTAAATCAAATGAGTTGTTTTTAAACTATAGGCATGTTAAAAACCGTGTTTAATTTATCAAAATGACAGGACTTAAAGGGGGAGGATAAAAAGTTGAGAGCTTAAAAGGAACTTTCCTCACATCAACTCAATTTACAAATTTCTAACTTGATAAATTCATTTAGACGGGCCATGGAAGTGTGCAAAGCATTAAAAAGTACAAAAATTGTTAATGTTAAAATGCTCTTCTCAAACTCAAACCCAATTTAAATATTGCCGAGTGTGTTATAAACAAGCATTGCCTGGCTGATAAACAGAAGTTTACTAGATATAATAATGACGAGTTCGTGTCTCGGTGCTGTAGAGAGTTTAACTCTGCCATTAATCCTCCCCTGGCCCGGGAAAAACCCTGTTTAGCTTAAAAGAGGAAGAAGAAGTGGACAAAAAAAAATGTCAATTTAAATACAAAATCCTCCTTGATAAAGGGACTCCTTTAAATTTATATATTAAACCCTGTAGGAGAACATGTAGCTCTAGGTACTAAGCGGCTTCATGGGTGACAGATAGTGAAACGGCCTACCTTGTTAGGTTCGTTGTGAATATAGTGAAAAAGCAACCCTGGACCATGAGTGGCAGTCACCATCAGAATAGGAAAAAGTGGCCAGTGGCCATACCTTGAGGACTTGATGATGTTGCAATGTGACAAACTAATGAGGGTTGGATTGCCTATAGAAAATTTAATAAGGAGGTAAAGAGCCTTATAGGATAGGTGCTGCCAGTATATTGATAATGCACTAGGATGCAACAGGATCAGAGAATCCTGGGCTGTTTTAAAGATGTTGTGCTCCCCTAGAAAGGGAAATGATACTCACCGATTAGTGACAGAGCTTGAAAGGAGCACTTTGAAGATCTTAGTGAAAGCCTACCCCAGTTTATTTCAGAGGAGAGGATGACCAGAACACCCGATGTTACGGTAACAGTTACAATGGAGGAATTGTCTCAAGCTCAGAAAAATTAAAAAAACGGAAGGACCTCCAGACCGAGCCAGATATCGGTGGAGCTGCTGAAGGCTAAAGGTAATAACTAACAGGAAACAAAATTTCACAGCTGCTGTGTTGCTCTCATCAATCGGCCAACATGTTTTCGGCAAAATAGAAAAAGTTATTTCACTAAAAAAATTCTCATGGGTGAACTGGTGCACTCGCAGCAAACAACTTCGCACACTAAGGAGACGTAGCCCTAATGAACACTGGGTCGAACAATGGGTTCCCTCACTCTCTCTCCCCATTGCAGCCTAATTCCCATTATGTTTGGGTCCTCCCTTGTATGTTCTAGGGGTTCTAAAATATACCTCTCCTCCTTCCCCCTGATGACCTTCTATAAAGTGAAAAAGTTCCTTATTTTCTGGAATAATAGGAGACTTTTAAAACAGTAAAAGCAAATAATTGAAGGCAAATAAACTATCTCGGGTTACTGGGAATGTACTGAATATGGTTTTTATTTATTTTGATCACACCAGTAAACAAACATACTAAATTACTAATAAAATAAAAAGTGTAACATGAGTATAGGTTGCAATAAGAGCTTAAATTACACTATAATCAGCTGTACTCATTGTTTTAATTTTTAATTACTTGATTCCTTGTATATAACAGCGTCTATTAATATTTTTATATGAAACAGAAATTTGCAGGAAAAAACTGGGAAAATTCTAGAAAAACCGAGAATAACGGGTAAACATACAGGAATTTTTCAGAGGAGAATCGCTGGATACCTTAATGACGATGCCATTGAGGTTTGACATTGGGAGTCTCTCTGCTTCTCTGGGTCTTGGCTTCGTCCGTTCTAGGACGTTGTATTATTAGGAAGTCAGGCACATCATATTTGATCAAACAATTTTTCCAGTGAGGGTGTAGTTCTTATATTTAATTAGGACATTCTTTGATCTTGGTTGATAAAGCTTCTAGGATCTTGTTAATGCCAATCTTTATAATCTCACTTTGCTGTTGGAAGTTTGAAAGAACATAAAAAGGGAAATATCTAAAATTCTAGTCCAGTTACTCTGTACCAAAACTTGAGGCATGAACAAAATATCTCTCCTGGATGCTCAGTGCTTTTATTGAAAAGACTCTGGGACCAAAGTGTTGTTTCTTATTACTCAACCCTACCTTGGCAAAATTTTGTATTGCTATCCTGAGAAGTCTCTGTATAAGTATGATGATTTCTGTAATGTTGCTTTAATGGGATTTAATAATTATTTTTAGGTAATATAGAAACTGGGAGCTTAGATACTGGCATCATATCCAGGAATGTTGCATTGAGAAATGAGCTAGATTTGTATGTAAATGTTCTTAGTTGTAAATCTTATCCTGGTGTTATTGCTCGACAGAAGGATATTGACATTCTCATCATCCGTCAAAATACTGAAGGGGAATATGCTATGCTTGAACATGAGGTAATTTATTGTTTAGATATTCTATTGGTGCAGTGATATGAATGAAACCGATATATTCATTGAATTTTTGATGAATAGTTTTATTCTATTTATTTTTCTTTATTTTTCATATTTTTTTAATTAAAAAAGTTAATGTTGAAAAGATACTATTTAAATATATATATATCTTTTTTCTGTTAGCATTACAGACCATGTTAATCTTTTGCTGCCTTAACAAGCCTGCTCCATCTCTGCCTATCTTGGGCTATTTCATTCCATTTATCTGCACACAGCTCTGTTGCATCTTTAATACTTAATATTTAAAAATATATATAAAATAAAATTTATTATTAGTATTTGGTTGGCCACCTGGCAAAGAGTGACTCCGCTCTGTTAGGTGTTTTTTAAATTAGTTTTTTGTGTTAATTTCTACCATATTTCCTGGTTTTCTGGTGATCTCCTCTTTGAATAAGTGGAATCTTTTAATTAGGAAGACAACTGATAGTTACCTGGTAATATAAATGATTATTGGTTTGTCACTATCCTTGAGCCCAAATGTTTTAATGTTCTTCAATGATGAGAGCAAAAACAATAAGCTCTAATTGCCCATACCTACGAAGACCATGGTTTTTAGCAACATAAAGCTGAATGACATCCTCCAGGTTCCGGGTTTGAATGCTTCTTCAATGTACCTAGTATAAAACATGTTACATCATGTGTTTAAAGTTCTTTAATGCATGTTTTGCCTTATACTTATACTTATGAAAAAAAAATTGTCCGCTGTCTTCCATAAATACTCATTTATAAATTTCCTTTCCTCTGACTAATTGTTTCAATGTAACCATTGTTTAATTGATAACACCAAAAAACCAGTAAAAAATTAACCAAATAAAGAGTTTAGGAGCCATAAGAGTTAAAGGTTTTATTGCTCAGTTAATAAATATATGTTTATGAATGTGTATCTATTTGTGCACCATTAAAACAATTCTGTTGGCACCTCGTGGAGTAATGAGATCTGGTGTTTTTTTAGAGTGTAAGCGGTGTAGTTGAAAGTATGAAAATTGTCACTTATGATAACTCTGAAAGAGTAGCAAGATTTGCATTTGAATATGCTAAAAAACTGGGAAGAAAGAAGGTGACAACCATTCATAAAGCCAACATTATGTAAGTTTGTGAAAATGGATAATTAATAATTACCTGTTAATTTATTTCAACTTTCAATATCAATCTGATCTGAATACAGTATCTATTAAGTATTTGTTAATATTTTTGTGTAGTTAATAGCATTTATAGAAGTTAAATTTGTTATATACATTATAGTATCTCAAATAGCAGAACTTTGGAATATCCATAACTTTTTATTGTAGAAAAATACCATTACATTTTAACCTTTTAAAAAGACGGTGGTTCAAAAGGAGGGAGTGGGTGTCTAGGACTATGACCTTGGAAAGACAAGGTGGTTCCTGAGACAAACTGCTTTTAATGAAAAATGGCTCCTGTTTGATGCATTCAAACAAAGTTGTCATGTATTTTATTAGTTTTTTGTGTTAATTTCTACCTTTATTGTTAGGTATACAATTTATAGAAAAAGGATACTTTTTATATATTATAATTAAATATTAATTACTTTAAATAATTATATTTTTTTTAAAAAGTGGGTCAGCCATGAAATAAATTTTAACTCGCCCATGATGGATTTGAACCGTGGTTAAACTTGAAAATGTAAAAGTTTACATTTTAACACTACCCGTCATCACGACCTCAGTATTTTAATAACAACACTAAAATAAATTACATAATTAACATATAATTTAATTAAAAATATATATATATTTTTCCAAAGAGGTACATGACAGGTCTCCTCCACATAAATAATCATTACCCTTTTCAATCAATTACACAATGACATTACATAATCACGGAAACGTGCAGGCATTGATATAGAACCGGTTCAAAAGGAATCATGTTAAGAGGATCAGCGATTCTCTCCTGAAGTGCTGAAAGCGGAGCTTGAAGGTCTGGAAGTGGAACCTGAAGGCCTGGAAGTGAAACCTGAAGGTTAAAGATAATTAAAAAAAAAAGGTTGGAGGTAATTCTCAGACCTGAGCAGGTAACCCTGGAATTTCATATACGAATACTTCTGGATTAAATGTAACAGTCTTTTGTGAAACAAAAGTGGTGCATTGTTGATCTATATGGCATTTCTGAGTTTTCCTGGATTTATCCAGAACTACTAGATAGTGACGTTCTCCAAACTTTTTTCAGCACTTTGTCGAATTCCCAATTATACTTGTTTTGAAAGAAGCGGACCTGGACTCTCTCTCCCAAATGAAGAGATCTCACTCTGATAAAAGACTTGCCCTGTGGATGTTGATTTTGAGTGGAAAGAAAACTTCAAGACATATTTGGAGTTAAATATAATTCCACCGGTGGCTTTTTGCAATAAAGTGGAGTAGCTCGCTACCTGAACAAAATTCTTCTTGCTTTCTCTGCCATTGACACATTTTCATCAGCAATAGACTTAAGTCGATATTTTAGGAATTGTATGTGAGGTTTGGCCAAGCCATTTGTTGTGCGTTGGTAAAGGACGATGAACTGAACATCATTAGCCGTACATTTTGAATGGAACTGCTCACATTGAAAAATTGTGTAGTTAAACAAATAAGAAAATAATTCATTCAACTACTTAATTTAAACACTCAAAACGAAAAAAATAAAGTAAAGTAAAGTAATTAAACATGTGATAGAATTATTGTCTAAATCTGGTTACAACAAAAAAGAAGAAAGGTTAGCAGATATTTATGTGATAAATGTGTCTGCTTCACACTCCCCAACCATGGAAAAACCCGGAGGACAGTTCCTCTAGATTATTATATGGTAGGCGAATTATGATTGTCGAGTCTTTTTTCTTGACGTAGGGTAGATCTAAGGAGAAACATGGACTTAAGCCAGTCGTTAGTAACCCTTGTTTTGTAAACCTTTATTTCAATATAAAAAATATTTGTTGAGACATTTGAGAACAATATGGATCCTGAATAAGATGGATGCATCTCAGAATGAAAAGATCCTTGGTATAGAAAAATGTAAGAGCAATTTGTTAGATGCTGTGATACAAAGAGTTTCTGTATCCCATGTCTTGAAGATTGTACAAGTTGCAAGTCCTTTATGATACTCTGAAGGTGAGTAACAAAATCAGATTGATCAACTGCTCGTAAATTTATAATAACTCCCCCAGGGGAGAATAAGCGGGACGTCGTAACTGAGAAAATAACTCGATCAATTCCTTATAGCTATACAATTTAATTGGCATCTCTGGGGCAAGAAACATGGCCAGTTTGTTATAATGTTTTGTCCCAATACTAATAGTTAATAAAATGTAAGCCTTTTTATCATTATTTTGAACATTTTTGATATCTAAATAGCTTTCAAAACGTTCTGTATAAAATTAAAACTTTTATTTTGTTAAATCAAAGTTTTCAAACAGCTGAATATTTGAATCTTTATTGTTTGTCATACCTGGAGTCAGACTGGTAACAAGTTGTTGAATTAAAACCTGTAATTGTTGATTAAATGCCTCCAATAGTTTCTTAAATTGGTCTGCATCCATAATTTGGGTTAGATATTGAACTGTCTTGAAAATAAAAAATAAACATCGAATTTAAGCTGTGAGTTGAAAATAGGAGAGTGTAAAAACTTTAGTTTCAGAAATTTCAAACTTTTCAATTGTTGCTAGTTATTTTATTTTTAACCTAGAATTGAAATTCACATAGTCACATTTTATAAACAATTGATATTTCAAATTTCAAATTTTTTAAATTTCAAACTTTTCAATTGTTGCTAGTTATTTTATTTTTAACCTAGAATTGAAATTCACATAGTCACATTTTATAAACAATTGATATTTTAACAACCATACAATAGTAAACTACACAATTAACATATGAATAATTAAAACTATATCTTTTTTTTTTCAAAGAGGTACATGACATATGGTCAAGAGTCAGGCTCCAAGGATCTCTAAATTACCTGAATGCTTACAATATCTGGTTGCAGGACTAGGATTATATCTCCTACAACATCCTTCTTGTATCACAGATCCCAAACAGTCATTATTCCCAATAAAACTCCTTCCTCCCTCTCTCACTAATTAGCGATGTTCCTCAGGGATCTTTCCTCTCTCTAACTCTTTTCTCCATATACGTCAACGACCTTCCCGAATCCATCCATCATTCACAATACTACTTATATGCTGACTATCTTCAAATATATCTTTCCTTTCATTCTACTGAGATGCTTGAGGCGATCCGAAAACTACAAGAAGACAAATAGTATTACTACTTGGGCAGCAAGTAATGATTTAATGTTGAACGTTGAGAAGACTAAAGCCATTCTCATTGGTTCCAAGCATCTTATTAATTCCATTCCACACTATCCTCTACACTATACCTCTGTCAGAAATCTCGGAGTAATTTTCGATCAATACCTGTCCTGGAATAATCATGTCTCCAAAATTATCCGAAAATCTATTGCTACCCTAAAACAGTTCCTGAGATTCTGTGATTCTATTCCTCTAAAAACCCGCCAACTAGTAGTTTCCTCACTCATCTTTCCTCACTTTGATTATGGATGGCTTGTAAATGGTGGACTGTCTGTTGGGCTTGAGATCAGATTGAAAAGATTAATAAATTGTTTCATTAAATTCATCTTTGGAGTCCCCAGGCGCTCCCATGTCTCCAGTTGGTATGATGAATTGAAGTGGCTCTATCCAGATTTCCGGTGGCAATATTTCTTAGGTGTATTCCTTTTCCGAACCTTTATAACCAAAAAGCCATCATACCTTCTTGATTTGTATACTCCTTGTTCCTCAGTTCATTCATTTAACACGATATCCCAGTCCATAAACCTGTTTGTTCCCTCTCATAGAACCGGTTCCTTTAAAAAATCTTTTATCCTGTGTGCTACCTTTCTTTGGAATTCTCTACCTATCTCACTACGCAAATACTCTTCCTTAACCTCATCTAAAAAACATTTTTTTCTTTCATCTCCTTAGCAATCAATCTTCCGATTACATGTAAGGATATAGTTTCGTATTAAAGAGCTGTCACTCTCATTTGACTGTTATATTGCTATTACTTACATATGTATCATCAATATTGTTAATCAGAATGTTTATCAATATGTACAAATCAATGTGTTTACTCGTACCTAATTTATTTGTAATGATGTAGAGATGGTTGACCGTGATATAATATGAGAAGTAGTTGGTCGGGGGGGTGCGGTCAAATAAATACTAAATTTTTAAAAAATAGTATTTTTTTACCGACGTTTCCACCCACCTTGCTGGTCTTCATCAGAGCTGCAAAAGTTACAAAATATAAAAGGTACATGGTGAAAATTAACTAAATGAATTATAAGTAGATATTAAATCAGAGATATAGTGGGTGACATTGTAGTTAAAATATCAAGTATGTATATAATACTTGATATTTATATAACACTTGATATTTACTATGTATATAATACTTGATATTTTAACTACACTGTCACCCACTATATCTCTGATGTCATCTTATTATTTCTTTATCAGACAACTGTTTCTTATTTAATATCTACTTATAATTCATTTATTTTATTTTCACTATGTACTTTTTGTATCTTTTTAAGCCCTGATGAAGACCTGCAAGGGTCTAAATGTCGGCGAAATAATTAAAAAAACTATTTTTTAAAAATTTAGTATTTATTTGACCACACCCCCCGACCAGCTACTTCCCGTAATTTGTTTGAATTATAAGGGTAGATTATAATGTTGTGTTAGCCAAAATTTTTCTTATTTTTTATAATGCGAGACAATTTTCATCTTTTTGTATATTATAATTATTCTAAGGGGACTAAATGTATTCTTTCTTTCTTTCTTACTACTTATCTATATCAGCTAAGGATTTTCATATAGCTTCTTTCTAACCATAAAATCCTAGTCATACTAAATTAAGTAATTATTAGTGTTGTAAAGTTAAATAAGAGATTATTATTTAAATGTATTTATATATGTTATGATTATTACTTTTATATACATTTCAGGAAATTATCAGATGGACTGTTTTTAGAAACTTCAAAAAGGATAGCAAAAGAGTATCCTGAAATAGAACATAATGAAATGATCATTGATAATTGTTGCATGCAGCTGGTTTCAAATCCACATCAGTTTGATGTAATGATTATGACAAATCTTTATGGTACTATTGTATCAAATGTTATTTGTGGTTTAGTCGGTGGGGCAGGACTTCTGTCTGGAAAAAATTATGGTGACCATGTAAGTTTAACATTCTACTTATCTGATTTAGTGTTCCTATTCATTTCTTTTTTAGCTGTCATAAAATATTGATTAAACTATGAAGGATGGTAGTTCATATTTTATTATAATTATATCCTCTGTTTTAATTTAGTATAAATTCTGTGAATAGAGTAAATAATAAGAGATTATTGAAGGAAATTGACTGTTCTACATATCATGGGGAATGAATAGGCAGGACACAGTCAGTTTTTAAGATTTTATTGTTGCCAATGTTTCAACCCAAGCTTGTGGATTGAAACGTTAGCAACAATAAAAAATTTTAAAACTGACTATCCTGACTATTTATATATATATATATTTTTTTTTTTTTTGTTCTACCCTACCTTGCCTTTTAGGCTGTTCGAGATTTTCCCGGGCCGGAGAGGGCAAGGGCAGGGAATTTAAAATCCCCTCCAGCATTGGGGCACGTGAACTCGTACTTTTTTTTTAATCTCATAACTTTATCTGATTGCCGGGCAACTCGCGGTGCTGTGCACACGTATTAGCCCATTTGACCACCCCACTCCCTCCTGGCTATTTATCACCCATAATAAGGAATTATGATTTTCCAGAGCATGTTCTATTTAGTTAACAAAACAACATCATTTTTCATTGTCATCTTTCTAATCTTCAGTTTCTCCATAAAATATAACTTTGCTCCTTTAGGTATGGCATGTAAAGTTATTGTAAGATGGGTGCCAGGAAAAATAATAAATAAATAAAATTGAGCTTCTACGAGTATAATATATTGTTCAACATGCATGGAACCATCTACTAAAAATACTATCTACAATAAATATATTAACATTCACTATAAATAATAACTCACTAATAAAAAATCTGTCAAAATAACAGTGTATCTATAAATAATTAAAATAACAATAAGGACATGCGCATGCTAGATATAATGCCTATATAACGATAATTAGTAGGATGCTCGAAAAATAACTATGGTAAAATAATATCACAGGCAATAAATAGTTCAATTCCCAACCAGACGTCGACCTCCAGAAGGTATTGTATTCTTTGACCTTGAAACAAGATATCCCTACTGAAAAGAAACAACTATATAATTTCTCTATGCCAATCGATTCATAAGGTTGATAGGGAATTGATAATAAGAATGACCCCTCATTACTGAACTGCACAAGGTAGTTAAGTTTGCATGCGAAATGTATTAGTAAATATGTTACCTGCTCGTGGGGATTTATCCTAATAAAGATATATTCTTCAGTTGTGGCTTGTATGTAATAGATTGTATTGTTAACATGGGGGACATGGTTCCTTCCCCAGCTTTTCATATCTTCCTACTGTTTCCTCAACTCAGTGTAGCCAATGCTGATAGTTCGTGGCTTCAATCCTCCAATATAGGCCCCCATCCTAAACAGTTACACTGTGCTTTTTTTATCTGTGTACAATCAATTTTCAGAGTGATATTTAAAGGGAAAAGCTTGACCCACAGAGATGTTCTATTATTTGGTTTATAAGTTTTCTTTCTGCTTGTCTAATATGAACAGCAGAGCATGAGCACTTGATTGAGTACACACTACTTTAACACATAGGGTCAACTCAGTCCTTGATCCTGGCGTGTGTGTGTGTGTGTATGTATCAAAATGAAAATTCTTCGTACCCAGAGAAAAATAGTACAGTGTAACTTTACATGCCATACCTAACATGAAAACGATGGATTTTTAGGAAAAACTGGCTATTAGAAGGATAACTATGAAAAATAATGTTTTATGCCTCAATATCCACAATACAAAATTTGAGAATTCAGTCCTCATTAAATTATTTATTTATTTTACAGCTAATGAAAATGAAACATAGGGAGTGGGGAGAGCCCATCTGGCCAGTAGTTTCACTTTTAGTCCTCAATTGACAAGCAGGAGAGAATGGCTGTCATAAATAAAGTAATATAATTGTCAGTTTTTATTTTATAATTATAATAAAACGCTTAGGGCATCTAAAAGTTCAATGCTAACACCACCAACAACCCTCCCTCCACCGGTCACCGTCAATCCGAACTCCACTAAATGAGCTTTAATGCAATCTTTCCGCCTTCGCTTCAGTATATCCCTCGGACTTAAACAGTTGGCACATTAGCTTTAATGCAATCTTTCCGCCTTCGCTGCAGTATACCCCTCGGACTTAAACAGTCGGCACACCACATATTAACCTTTTAAGAATTCATTCATTACTTAGCCCAAAAATTTTATTCACTGCAATATAGCCACTTCAATTATATAGCATTTCCAAGTCAATTTCAACCTTTTCCAAATCAAATTCAACCTTTTCCAAGTCAAATTAAACCTTTTCCATTTCAAATTCAACCTTTTCCAAGTCAAATTCAACCTTTTCCATTTCAAATTCAACTTTCGAATTTTTGTCAATTTTCGATTTTTTTCGAAATGAAGGCCACTTACTATATTATCGAAGGCATAGCTTTTGAAAAATACAAAAAAAAATTTGATAACGCGGTTGCATATCCATTTATTTTAACATTTTAGATTTTTTCAGTGTGATATTTCTATGTCTATTCAATTATTTCCAAGTCAAATTCAACCTTTTCCAAGTCAAATTCAACCTTTTCCAGATCAAATTAAACTTTTTCCAAGTCAAATTCAACCATTTCCATTTCAAATTAAACCTTTTCCAATTCAAATTCAACCGTTTTCATTTCAAATTAATGTTTTAATTTTTTGTAAATCTTATATTTTTTTTTAAATAATGGCCATCCCCTCCCCCCCTCCAATATGAAAGTCTATTATTATGCTCTCCTAAGTAGAATTTTCACTTACGGATATCGATTTATTGTACCTATTCGGATTTATTAGAGACTAGTATTATGCTGTCCTCTACCTAGTTTTGAAAATAACCCCCATTTTAAGATTAAGCGACTGCGTTTCGAATCATTTAAGTTTTTTTGACTTATTCGATATAAGGGTGTATTTTTATATAATATAAATTAGAATTTATATAATATAAAGGTCTACTTTTATGTTTCTGGAGCCGTAGATTTTGAAAACGACTTCCATTTTAAGATTAGGCCACCGCGTTTCGACTTATTTGAGTTTTTCGGATTTTTTTCATATGAGGGTGTATTCTTATGTTTCCGGAGCCGTAGATTTTGAAAACGACCTCCATTTTAAGATTAGGCCACCGCGTTTCGATTTCTTTGAGTTTTTCGGATTTTTTTCTTATGAGGATGTATTCTTATGTTTCCAGAGCCGTAGATTTTGAAAACGACCTCCATTTTAAGAATAGGCCACCATGTTTCGACTTATTTGAGTTTTTCGGATTTTTTTCATATGAGGGTGTATTCTTATGTTTCCGGAGCCGTAGATTTTGAAAACGACCTCCATTTTAAGAATAGGCCACCACGTTTTGACTTATTTGAGTTTTTCGGATTTTTTTTCATATGAGGGTGTATTCTTATGTTTCCGGAGCAGTAGATTTTGAAAACGACCTCCATTTTAAGATTAGGCCACCGCGTTTCAACTTATTTCAGTTTTTCGGATATTTTTCATATGAGGGTGTATTTTATGTTTCCGGAGCTGTAGATTTTGAAAATGACCTCCATTTTAAGATTACGCCACTGCGTTTCGACTTATTTAAGTTTTTTTTATTTAGTCGATGTAATGGTGTATTTTTATGTTTCCGGAGCTGTAGATTTTGAAAACGACCTCCATTTTAAGATTAGACCACCGCATTTCGATTTCTTTAACTGTTTCGAATTTTTATCATAAAAGAGTGTATTCTTATGTTTCCGGACTCGTAGATTTTGAAAATGACCTCCATTTAAAGATTACGCCACTGCGTTTCGGCTTATTCGAGTTTTTCGAATTTATCCAATTTAAAGGTCTACTTTTATGATGCCGGAGCCTTAGTTTTTAAAACGATTTACATTTTAAGATTAGGCCACTGTGTTTCGGTTTTTTTAAGTGTTTTTGATTTTTCCTTCGAATAAAAAACAAAATACGAAGGATTAATTTATTTTTCAATAAATAAATAAAAATATCTAATCAAAATAAAGAAAATATGTATTGTCTCATTTTTAATTTAATTTTAGTTATCTTTTTTAATGTTGTGATCTCCTGTCACAAAAATATAAGATTTCGAACAATTAGCTGAAAAATCTGAATACGGAAGGTTAAATTTATTACCAGTTGCTTTTCGGCTTTTTAGTTTGTATTCTGTGGTTAATTTAACTTTAGCTTCATAATATTTACTTATTTATTCATACTCGAAAACATATTGATGAATAAATCCAAAGTGAAGCCTAATTATTCGAGATGCAGCAGCTTAATCATAAAGTGGAGCTTAAATATTAGATAAATTTAAATATTACAGATTAGGAAAATTTCAATACGTCTCGGATAACATATAAGTAGATCCTTATACCGAAAAAGTAAAAAAAAAACTTTTATGATCCAAAACACAGTGACATAAACTTGAAATTCGGTCATTTACAAAATGGGGGAAATCTACTGCTCCAGAAACATAAAATTAGACCTTAATACTTGTTAAATTCTAAAAACTTAAATAAGTTGAAACGCAGTAGCGTAATAATAAAATAGAGGTCATTTTCAGAATCTACGGTTCTGAAAACATAAAAGTAGATCTTTAAATTGGATAAATTCGAAAAACTTAAATAAGTCAAAATGCAATGGCGTAATCATGAAATGGAGGTTATTTTCAAAATCTACGGCTCAAGAAACATAAGAGTAGACCTTAATATTGGATAAATTCGAAAAACTTAAATAAGTAAAAACGCAGCGGCGTAATCATAAAATGGAGGTCATTTTCAAAATCTACAGCTCCGGAAACATAAAAATATGCCCTTACATCGAATAAATCAAAAAAACTTAAATAAGTCGAAACGCAGTGGCGTAATCTTAAAATGGAGGTCATTTTCAATATCTACAGCTCCGGAAACATAAAAATACACCATTACATCGACTAAATAAAAAAAACTTAAATAAGTCGAAACGCGGTGGCCTAATCTTAAAATGGAGGTCATTATCAATATCTACAGCTCCGGAAACATAAAAATACACCATTACATTGAATAAATAAAAAAAACTTAAATAAGTCGAAACGCGGTGGCCATATCTTAAAATAGAGGTCATTATCAATATCTACAGCTCCGGAAACATAAAAATACACCATTACATTGAATAAATAAAAAAAACTTAAATAAGTCGAAACGCGGTGGCCATATCTTAAAATAGCGGTCATTATCAATATCTACAGCTCCGGAAACATAAAAATACACCATTACATCGACTAAATAAAAAAAACTTAAATAAGTCGAAACGCAGTGGCGTAATCTTAAAATGGAGGTCATTTTCAAAATTTACAGCTCCGGAAACATAAAAATACACCCTCATATGAAAAATATCCGAAAAACTGAAATAAGTCGAAACGCGTTGGCCTAATCTTAAAATGGAGGTCATTTTCAAAATCTACAGCTCCGGAAACATAAAAATACACCCTCATATGAAAAATATCCGAAAAACTGAAATAAGTCGAAACGCGGTGGCCTAATCTTAAAATGGAGGTCATTTTCAAAATCTACAGCTCCGGAAACATAAAAATACACCCTCATATGAAAAATATCCGAAAAATTCAAATAAGTCGAAACGCGGTGGCCTAATCTTAAAATGGAGGTCGTTTTCAAAATCTACGGCTCCAGAAACATAAAAGTAGACCTTTATATTGGATAAATTCTAAATCTTAAATAATTCGAAACTCAGTCACGTAATCTTAAAAAGGAGGTTATTTTCAAAAACTACTCATACGATAACAGACCCACACATCGAGAAATTAAAGATAATTAAATAAATAAAAAAAGGTTGAATTTGAAATGGAGAAGGTTTAATTTGAAATGGAAAAGGTTGAATTTGACTTGGAAAAAGTTTAATTTGATTTGGAAAAGGTTGAATTTGACTTGGAAAAGGTTGAAATCGACTTGGAAATGCTATATTAACCAGCTACAGTTCACGCGATTCGCCATTCTGTAACCGTCTAAATTCTCGGGTTGGCTCATACTTCTTCAATCCGAATATTCTATGCAATACTTTATCACATCCATAAACACCTGCAGTAGGATAATGATTTTATATATTCTAATTTTCAAGTTTTGGTACAGGAAGCACGAGCTAAGTAGTTTTGTCACAGATAAATAACAAGCATTTCCCACCTTTTGCGTTTTTGTAGCTAATCATATCTTTTGCTTATCCGTATTTGTTTCAAGCCCCAGTTCTTTACCGGCTTTCATTATCCTTTTCATATTTAATTTTATAGTTTTTGTATTTTCGCTTAAGAAGACCATATCATCTGCATAACCTTGGACAGATATTGTTCTTGCCAGATTCAAACCTTTTTCAGTACGCACTACCTTCCTAATGGCATGTTCTAATGCTAAATTAAACTGGAGATTTGAAAGGGAATTGCCCTGTTTCAAACCCGATTGAACCTCAATTTTTTGAAATAAATAATTACCGATTCTAACTTTATTGAATGTTTCCGGTTATACTCACTGGAAATAGATTCACCAATTTTATTGGATTCCCCTGTTTAATTAAAATTTTAAACAGCTTCTGGTGGCCAATGGAATCATAAGGCTTTTTGAAATCAATATACAGCTGCTGAACAATACCGTTGTATTATAATTTTTTCTCTAATATTTTATCAGCTTATTCCGTGATTCAATTAGTAAGGATTAATGTGAATATTTTATAACATACCAGAAGGAGTGAGATTCCTCGATAGTTATTATAATCTGTCCTTGGACTTTTTTTGGGAATCAGAATAAGAATAGATTCTTTCCATTCTTCTGTTATTTCTCATTCTCTCAGATGTTTTTAACCAACAAATGTATTTTAGCAACTGCAGGTTCCCCACATGACTTAATTAGTTCACTAAGAATTTTATCAGTTTCCACTGTGTTATAAGATTTGAATTTTCTGATAATTACTTCAACTTCCTCTTTATTTGGATCTTCTAAAAGGGTTCAGCACTTTGGTAATCAGAGGGAAGACACGGATCATTATTTCCCATAATTAAAATATTATCAAAGTGTTTATTAAACTTGCTTAATATATCTACCCGATGTGTCAGAATATTGTTATTTTCATCCCTAATTCCAGTCGCTATGGGTCTTAAACATTTACATGATTTGTCCATACCTTTTTACATGTTTTTTACTATGAGGTTGTAGGATGTTATGGTTGGAATTTCAGCGAAAAACTATATTTCTTTTTTTTTAGTTCTTAGTTATTTGGCAATAATTACTTCCAATTGGTAACAATTGAATATATTTCCTATATTATCAACGTTACATGTTAACAAGTTGACGTTTCGGGATATTTACTCCCATCTTCAGAACTACAATCCCAATAATCTTGTGGATGCAAGGCTAAAAATTTTTTGAGTCAAAATACAGTGCATGTTACATTACATGTTAGAATTTTGTTGTTACAATAAATTTGTAATTACCTTAAAAATAATAATAATGTGCTCCATCGTCAAATTTCTAATTCATGTTATAAAATATATCATCTAGAGCAACATCTTGCTTTAGACCAATAATTGGGTGTCTGCCATAGTGAAATACAATTGACCTTTGGATCTGACTGTTTTATCTGACTATTTTTATACTATTGTTGTTAATGTTTATTTTATGTATCTGCAATTTTACTTCTATTAAATTTTAATTTTGTTTAATATGTCCGTATAATGAGTTCCTAAATGTTTAGTGTCTGTTTTATAATTGACTGTTGTTCTATTGTTCTTTGTGATGTGTATTGCTTCAAGTAATTTCCTATTGGTGTTTTTTGGTTCTGTGCTTTATTGAAGTTAAATTTATGCTGTAATCTTATACTAAAGAAAAAAGAAGTATATTTCTTTGTTAAATAAGATTTAGGTCATGATATAAATTCCACTTCTCATCTTTCCGCTTAAATAGCAACTTATGGAATTTTTTAATATAGTAGTATATGTATAAACTTTAACCTGTTAACAAAAATAATTAACTTTCATTTGTATTTAATAGTATTTACATTTTTTCTAGTATGCCATTTTTGAACCTGGAACACGAAATACTGGAACTTCAATCGCCGGAAAGAACATTGCCAATCCTATTGCAATGATAAATGCCTCTGTTGACATGCTTGAACATCTGGGTCATCAAACACATGCTCATATATTATCCTCTGCTGTTAATAATACTGTTAATGTTGAAAAAATCCATACTCCAGGTATTTATAAACTTCAGTAAATTGGAAATCTCAATTTATTAGATTTTTTTTTCTTTCTTGCACTTTGAATTTTTATTAGAAAGTAACTTTTCTTATATATATATATATATTGTAACGTTCTCAAAATCAACAAAAACCAAACAAAGAGTTTACTTTTTCAATGTATTATTTATTTTAACACATAACATTAATCTCAGGTTGGATTCGGACAACTGAACACTCATTCAACATTAAATAACTATAATTTACCAATTACTAAATACATATATACATTAAGAAATACATTAAGAAATTATACATATTGTTTTCAAAAACCTTGATTGTCCCAGTCTAAACTTTGTGGCTCTTTCTATTTTCTCAACTCATGAATTGTTTCATAAGATACATTTTCGGGATCCCCAGACGTTCACATGTTTCACTATGGTACACAGAGTTGAAGTGGCTTTATCCTACTTCCCGACGACAATTCCTCTTGGCGTTTTCCTTTTCAAAGTCTTCAGAACCAAAAACCCTCCCTACATCCTGGAACTCCTTACTCTGCCCTCCTCTATCCACTTTTTTTTTTTTTTTTTTGTTCTTCCTTACCTCGCCTGTTAGGCTATACGGGATTTTCCCGGGCCGGAGGGTGAGGGCGGGGAATTTAAAATCCCCTCCGACACCGGGACGCGAACTCGTACTTTTTAAATCATCTCAAATCTTGTTCTCCGGTTGCCAGGCAACTCGCGGTGCTGTGCACACGCTTTAACCTATTCGGCCACCCAGCCCCCCCTATTTTCTATTTTCAGCCCCCTATTCTATTTTCTCAACTTGCTGGCTAGTACCTTCTCTCTTGACAGCTTGTCACATTTTCTCTTGGCGGCTCATAATCTTCTCTCTTGGCCGCTAGCACCTTCCCTCTTGGCGGCCCGTCGCAGTCTGAGTTACATGAGGCTTGCTTCCCCCACTTCTTCCCTGTAGTTCATGCTGTTACCGCTTTTGCGCCACTATTCAAATGCCATGTAATGTTGACATTACATTTCTCCTCCGTTTCAGTTTAAAAAAAATAAAAATGGAAATTTAAAATTCGGTGCAATATTTACATTTTTTTTTTTTCATATAAAATAATAAATTTAACTTTTGACATTCACACTTTTTACGATAGATTTTCCAACCTGGTTATCAAACATTTACAATTTTATATACAAAATTATTGAATTATTTACACTATATTACTTTAATCTACATACAGTAATTACATAACTTGTTCATCTAATTTATGTACAGGAAAAGTAGATTGATATACAAATAATAAAATAACCTGAATACATTATTTACCAAAAGAATTTTACCATACAATTCCCATATCTTATGTATAGTTAACTTACAAATTAACTGTTTAAATTACATATAACATTCAAAAATATATTTTAACTTGCATTATAGGAATAATCAGAGAGAAGACACTAATTAATTAAGACAATTTTTAACTTTCTTCTAAAATATGGATTTTACCTAGCAATATACAGCCAAAACAACTTATTAAACTTTTAGATATTAATCTATTATCCTATCTACCAACAATGTAATTAGACTATTTACAAAATCATATTTACAGCTAATTATTTACAAGTATCCAGAATGGGTAACCTGACGATGGTTTCGCCAGGACCCTCTAGCTCGTCAACGGAAGGGACGCTAATTTAACACCCTTTTTTATCCTCTGGATAGGATAAAGACTACCGTGTCTCACTATAACATAATGAGCGACCTGCCCTAACATGATCCAGAATCATATAACCCCCATAAAACTCATATTCTAGAATAAGTAGGATGACTGGTAATCCATTACACTCAAAATTATACTTAGTGAGTCCATGGAACGACACTTCATATAATCCTGTTCTTTTCTTACTCCAGTCATCAAACTTTCCTAACTCATCTTTAAATCGTAGAGTTAACTTTTCTGGAATTAAAGGAACTTCTGAAATAAAATAATTACCATGCTTTTCTCTGCTGGATTTTACTCCTATGAACTCAATTTGAAACTTGAGAAGTTCTTTCTTAATATCTATAAGATTAACTGTATGAGTTTCTACTAGAAATTCTGTTGTCACTAATTTTTCTTTAAGGGTTTCTTCATCTTTTCTTAAGAGATTTTCTGATCCAATATCAAGTGAAGAATTAATTTTGCTAAGCTCTTCAGTAACAATTTGCTTCTCATCACTTTCTGAGTGACCAAAAGTAGTTTTCTCAGCCAGTTTAGTTTCTTGAACTTCAGTTATATTTGCAATAATTTGGGTTTCTAGGTTATCACAATCTTGTTTCAAAATTTCCTGTTCATTATTAGAAGTTTTTTCAGCCAGTGTAGTTTCTTGGACTTCAGTCATATTTGCAATCATTTGGGTTTGCTTGTTTTCAATATGATGAAGAATAGTTATTACTTGTTGCAACATACCACACACATCAGCACAACTCAAATTGTTGCTACTACTTATATCTATTTTTTCACCCTCCATATTATTTTCACTAAACTCATTTATTTCATTTAATCCCAACAGACTTTCACTTCCGTTTTCACACTGTCTATTTTCATCAAGTAGGCTTTGTACAACTGACTCTTCCTTATTTTCTACACTAACAACATTCCCATTAGATTTTCTAAGAATTATATTATTAAGATCTCTAACTTCTATTATCTCTCTCTCTGCTTATTCTCCATATTACTAAAAAATTATTAATAAAAGAAAATAAAATTAAAAAGTATTGCGTGTTCAGTTGTCGTGACTACGTACGTTTTCAAAAGCCACGCTAGTTGGGCGCCATGTTGTAACGTTCCCTTTGTCAACAAAAACCAAACAAAGAGTTTACTTTTTCAATGTATTATTTATTTTAACACATAACATTAATCTCAGGTTGGATTCGGACAACTGAACACTCATTCAACATTAAATAACTATAATTTACCAATTACTAAATACATATAAAGAAACTAGATACATACATTAAGAAATTATACATATTGTTTTCAAAAACCTTGATTGTCCCAGTCTAAACTTTGTGGCTCTTTCTATTTTCTCAACTTGCTGGCTAGTATCTTCTCTCTTGACAGCTTGTCACATTTTCTCTTGGCGGCTCATAATCTTCTCTCTTGGTCGCTAGCACCTTCCCTCTTGGCTGCCCATCGCAGTCTGAGTTACATGAGGCTTGCTTCCCCCACTTCTTCCCTGTAGTTCATGCTGTTACCGCTTTTGCGCCACTATTCAAATGCCATGTAATGTTGACATTACAATATATATATATATATGTTTTTTTTGTTTTTGTTTTTTTTGGTTGGTGCTACAGACCTTGTAGATCTTTGGCCGCGATCCTGATTCCCGGTTCCACGAACCGGTGGGGGTCTCGGGTAGCGTGGCTTTCCCTGGTGGGTGGTCACTCAAGTCGGGCGGTCACCCATCCAAGTGCTAACCACGCTCGGGGCTGCTTAACTTGGGTTATCTATCGTGGCTTTCCCTGGTGGGTGGTCACTCAAGTCGGGCGATCACCCATCCAAGTGCTAACCACGCTCGGGGTTGCTTAACTTGGGTTACCTATCGCAAGTGCCTAAGCCCGGACATTACCCCAGCCCCTTATATAGATATATATAGCATTTCCAAGTCAATTTCAACCTTTTCCAAGTCAAATTCAACCTTTTCCATTTCAAATTCAACTTTTGAATTTTTGTCAATTTTCGATTTTTTTCAAAATGAAGGCCACTTACTATATCATTGAAGGCATAGCTTTTGAAAAATACAAAAAAAAAAATTGATAAAGCGGTTGCATATCTACGGCTCCGGAAACATAATAATGCGCCCTTTTATGATAAAAATTCGAAACACTTAAAGAAATCGAAACGTGGTGACTTAATTTTAAAATGGAGGTCGTTTTCAAAATCTACACCCACATATCCGGGGAGGAGAGACTCGGGCAGCATGTTTTTCCCTGGTGGACAGTCACCCAAATCGGGCGGTCATCCATCCAAGTACTAACCACGCTCGACATTGCTTAACTTTGATTACCTATTGCAAGCGCCTTAGCCCGTACGGCTACCCCAGCCCCTTATATATATATATATATATATATATATATATATATATATATATATATATGACTCTCCCTCTGTGAATCTTCCAGATCCCCTCCCTCAGCAGTCTTTCCAGCTTCGCCAGATGATTTCAACTCATATTTTATATCTGCTTCCTCTTCCACTCCTCCTTTTACTGCTTCCTTCTCTTCTCCTGGTATATCATCCTTCAATGACGATGACTTTTGCTTTTCATACATCTTGCCCACAGATCTCATATCCAATGAAATCACATTCCAATTATATTGATCCAGATGGCATTCTGGCCAAATTATGCTTTCCTGAAATCCTTCCTGTTCTCCTTTTCATATATAATTTCTCCCTCCAAAACTCAGTATTTCCTTGAATAAAATCTTTCAATCCACTCCTCTGAAACTAACTGCCTTCAACTCAGTTCTTCATTATAAAGGAATATGTTGGTAAATAACTTAATAATAATAACCAGAGAATCTTTTAGTGTGTATGCGACCTTTTTTATTGCAAACTACTTACGAATTAGTGAACATACTTGAAAAAAGGTATTCTTTTTTTTTTCCCCATAGTGAAACATTACTATATCTGTATGCTTAACAACTTTGAGTTAATAACCTTTTTCAATTAATCTTTAAGTTTATTATACTGTGGTTTGGTATATTATTATTATTGTTATTTTTCAGATCTTGGAGGAACAGCTTCTAGTATGGATGTTGTTCAAAGTATTCTTAAACATGTTTTAGAAGCAACAAAATCAATGAAGTGGTAAGTTATTTCTCATTGGTAACCTCATTAACATTTATTTAGATTGAATAATAATGTATTAGTTTTTATATAGAGAGACAATATTATGAACATCTCTCCTGAAAGGATTACAGGAATTTGGCATATTAGATGAAGTTATAAATTTAGTGAAAATGCTCCATGCTACATCCAAAGTCTTCAAAGGAAATCAATCCAGATAATTATTTCTTGTGGAATCAGGTGTGCATCAGGGAGATGGCTACTATCATCATTATTCATTCTATCTCTGCATAAAGCTATTGGAGTATCAGAGACAATATGATCTATTGTTAACAGAATGAGCCCGCTGCAAGCTTTTACTGATGATGTGGTGAACTTAATCAGAGCTAATTAGCTCATTTGGTAAAATTAAAAAAGCAAGTGTATGCATCGGGTTTGAAGTTAAGGTAGATCAGGATGAGCTTAAAGTATTTTAATGCCGAATTATTAGGAGGATTGATGGGGGAACTTACACAAATGATGACATAAACATCATTTTGAAAATCATAACATTATAAGATTTATAAAGTCCTGGAGAATCAGTTGGCTAGGACGTGTGAAGCGAACAATTATTGACCAAATACCACAATAAATGCTCTTAGGAAAAATAATCAGAACAAAAAAAAGAATGTCCTTGTAAACGTTGGCTCAGTGACGTAGAGGATGACCTTAAATAATGGGCTGGAAAACTAAATCTCTGAATCAGCAAGACTTTTGGTAGAGGCCAAGGCCCATCTTGGACTGTAGAGTCATATAATACATCTTCGGTTTATTGTATAAAGTCATTAAGTGACATTTTATAACTTCAAATCGTTAAAAATTGTGATGAATTTTCTCTTTCTGAAATTAGAATATTTAGGGCTTGTAAATATATTTGATTTATATAATGATTTATGTGATTTTAGTGCACTTATTGTGTTATTTTTTTAATCAATATCTAAGGTTGATATTAACAAAAACATTCCTATTTGAAAGTTAGCCTATTTCAACATCACGCATATTGACTTTTTGCAATAAACTGATGATACAATAATACTTAAATATTGAAGAAAAAATATACCAATTCATTGAGAAATTTAAGCTTGCAATAAATAATTACGCAATTATGTAAATTATACAGTATTATGCAGAAATTTAGCAACTAAGAGGATATTTTTGGAAGTTGTTGTTATATTGAATTCTTATTATCATTTATTATTATTATAAATTTTTTAAAATTGATTTAAGTACTGTATGACCTTTCTATTTTTATATATCAATGGCTTTAGATACTAGGTTTTCCAATCAGGTGAATTATACTTTATATTATTTTATTATTATTTTTTTTAAGAGTGAAGCTTTAAAAAATATTTTAAAAATTTGATTTTGAGCTCTTATAAATATCACATTGAAAATGTACAGTATCTGTTGTAAATGCTTGTTGAATCAGGATTTTTCTATGGCTTGCTATAGATTAATGCAATAACTATTTTTGTTTTCTTTTTTAAAGCATGGTCATAAGTCTTATTAATAAAATATTTTAATTACTTTTGGATTTCCTTGTGGGTTTGTTTTGTTTATTGTTTTATGATTTGAATTATTGATGTCTGTTGGATGAGTTAGTTTTCATTTTTTTTTTTTTTTTATCCTATGCCTTGATTAGCTAGAACTGTTTTAGCTATGCAAAGACTAGCTGTCTAATATAATTCACACTTAGTCTGTTAGTTATTATTGTTTTTAATGTTTTAAATAGAACATTAGATGTTTTGATATTGTGACTTAATTGATAAATGAAATAGCTGGTTGCTTCATAAATTCACTTTCAAAAAAACAAAATATAAAATAAATATATTTGAATTAGGTAAAGATTCAAATAAAAATAATTATGAACTATAAAGATGAGGAATAAATCATATATAACTGAAATTATATTGTAAATTATTAACTATTAATTAATTTGAAATAATAAACTAAGTTTTAAATTGAATTGTGATAAAAAAAGGAATTGTGTTAAAAACAAAATTAAACCTATCAAAAATGTCCTTGGAGATCAGCTGTAAGGCTGACTGGCCACCGAATGTGCAGCTGAGTGTAACTGAGCTGAGCGTAGCAAGAAAGGGTCGGCAACTGGTTGCGTAGCGGAGCTCAGCTCAGTCAGCAACTTGCCTTGCATCGGTACCCTTCTCATATTCCGTTTAATGTTTTTAAAAAGTATATATAGGATGTATAGCATTTTTAATAAATAGCAAAGTTGATCATGGCGGAGTTGAAAAGAAGAATCAAATATTTGTGTATGAAATCGAATATTTTCTCTTGCACATTCGATTAAGAATTCTTCCACATCCATTGCATATTTTACACTTAACCAAAATAAAATAATTTGAGAGGCAGTGAAAACAAGTGGGAAAAAAGGATGACACTGAGGAACAAAGCCCCACTGTTGCTTGACAGTGGTAAGTAGGTGTGGTAGGGGAAGCTGAGTGTAGCGGAGTCAGCTTCCAAAACCAAACCTCGGTCGACCCAAAGCTGACCTGAGCTGACCCTTGCTACGCCTCTCAACTGCGCTCAGCTCAGCTCAGCTTCTGTTGGCCGGCCTGTCATTGAAAACCTTTGCTTTGGTTCAGTTTTGGAAGCTGACTCAGCTACGCTCAGCTCAGCTTAATGATTTTCATATACATGAAATATCAAAGACGGACACAGTTGATGAAATTCAGAACAGGCTTCTTACAGTACAGTTGGTGAAACACACTGGCTCGATCCAAATAAGTGGATATTTTGGGTTCCAGTTTGACGAGGATGGCTCTGGTAGAGAGCGAAAGTTTTATCGATCCATCCTCAAGTTAAAGTATATTTTATTGACTATGGGAATGTTGTAACTACTTCAGATCTTCCTGATGACATAGCATCAATACCACCATTGGCAATCCATTGTAGTCTCAATATTAAAGAAACACCAGAGCTCCTTCCTACATTTGTGAAAATCACCAATTTCGCACAAACTCCTTTTCATATTAAATTGAAGTCTTGTGGTTTGCCGCCATATAGTTTCTTTGTTGACTGATGATGGAAAGGAAAGCTCAAGTCCACTGCGCTTTCGGTGGCCGGTCTGCCTAAGTCTCTTCCAGACTGGTGTACATTGCTTACAAAATAATATGGGTCTCCTAGGCGGTCATTGAGCCTTGTGCTCATACGCAGTGTGGTTCTATCAACTTAAGAAAGAAGAGATGAGTTGTAGTTGAAAATCACACATTGAACTTTACAAGTTGTACCTCCATTAAAATACATTTTTTTTTTTTTTTTGTGAGTTATATTATTTTCTTGAATTATATACAATTTTAATAAACTGGTTATGAAAAAATATAAAACTGATTAATAAGCAAAAGAGAAATTTCTAAATTAAATCACAATCAAAAGTTATTTTATGTTGGAAGAGATATTTTATGTTGATTTTTTTTTTTTTTGATAAATTTTTTATAATACTGTTTTTATTAAATTATTTATAAAGGGATTTCTAAAACTTAAAAGAACAAGAGTGGGTCATGACTGTCAATTTTTAATTCAATGAAACTTTTTTGATGATTTCAAGTATACAGTCTTAGTGTTTGACTAAATGGGTAGAGGCAAATGGTAATCATTTGAAGTTTCATGTCGTATTTTCAAACTTTTTTTTTTAATTTTCAGATATTTAATATTTTTAAACCTAAAATTTAAAAGATAACTATGGTATGCAAATATTTGACTGTAGTTCTAATTTAAGGAGAAGATGGTCGGGGATGCTGTCCGGAGATGACCGCACTCCCGACCAACTTCTCCTTAAATCAACATTGTAAGTTCCTTTCCCTTGTTAGTAAATTTGTTTAATTATTATCCTGCCCATTAAACCTAATTTTTCATTGAATAGACATGGTTTGTGGTATTTTATGTGTAAGTTAACCTTTTTTGTTTTTTTGCATTTAATCAATTTTTGCTTTCACAGGGGGAAGTTGCGGCGTGGTTTTTGTTGATTCTCCCAACTTTGATTCATTCGCATGTTACTAATATAAGATATTTTTGAAATTGTATTTCAATAATTAAGTTGTAATTAAATTTGTAGATTTTGGGGTAATATGTAAATAAATTTCTTTTGATTTTAGCTATGTGTGATGTGTATTCTGTTGATGTTTTTAGATATGCATTATTCAACAACATAATGATAAACCAACATCATAAATTACTGTAATTAAAATAGAATTAACATTTTTAATACTGTTTTCATAAGTTGTTAATACACCATTCATAAGTTGTATGTAATTAATTGGGTTGGTGGTAATAACGAAATGAATAATTACATGAAACATTTTTCAATTATGAATTTGCTGATCTGAAATTATTCACTGTTACTATTCTGTGTTTGTACAATTAGATATATTTTTGAGGAATACCCTCCCCAATCTCAGGTTTAATCTAAATAGAACTTATCCCAAAGATTTCCGAAGCTCCAATTAACCAAGAATTTATACAATTTTAAAACATCATTTCTTGTCAAACTTAAAACAGCATCTCTGTCATAATATTTTTTTATGCTGATTTCTTTAAAAGAATATTTTGTTTCTTTTTTAAATTAATTTTTTCATTAACAGGACTTTCTGAAATATCAAAAAAAATTCTCAAGACAGACTATAAATATTGACAACCCAAAGATCTTCACCGCTATTTACTTACAAACCATAAAATTAATCTCATTTTAAAATGAAGAATATGCTTAAAATTTTTTATATGCATTTTTAAATTTCTTATTTACTAATTCATTTAAAAATTCTGCATTCTGAAATTTAAATTTTTGCTATAAATTTCACATCACAGCTGATTTGGGCAATATTTCAAATAAATTATTATAAAATTCAAAACAATTTTTTAAAATTTATTTTGTATGTGATTTAGTACCATCTTGTTATTTGCCATGTTTTGTTGTTACTACATTTTTATTTAAATAATTCTCTAATCGGCAATAGTTCTCTTCATGACTTCAAG